AAAAGAAAAAAGAAAATGTAACTGGTTAAGAAGAACTGACTTACCGAATATTGCCTCATCTGAAGAAGAGTTTGCTGAATAAGTTCAAAGCCCACGCCAGGTGATTGCTGAAAGCTCAGTGAGGAGGAGGAGGAAGACAGGGCCGCGGTGGAGGAGGGCATGGAGGCTGCCAAAGCTACCTCCACCCACTCCAGCAGGAATTTCAGGGAGCCTCTCTGCATGCCCAGGCCAAGCAGCAGCTCCAGGGCCAGCCTCCGGCCAGTCGGGTCCGCCCCGCTGCTCCCGCTGCTCACCGACGTCTTCTTCAGAAAGTCAGCCACTTGTCCAAGGCAGTCCAAGCCCACCGATGGGATCTTACTTTCGTTGGCCAGAGAAAGCGGTGGCAGCGAAGCCAGGACGGAGGACGCGGTGGCGAGCACGTCATTGCAAAGCACAGACTCCGGGTGCACAGAGGCCGCGTACCTCCAGTTCTGCTGCAGCAACGAGAAGAGCAGACTCAGACCCGTCCTTACACCCATTTCTATCAGAACATCCGTGCCAGACTTGATTTTGGAAACTCCCCCCGGCAGACGAGGTTCTGAGGCCAGCTCAATCGGCCCGCTCTCCGCCCCGCTGTCCGTGGACTGCGAGGGCAGCTGCAGGCGAAACTTGTCATGATATTTGCTGTGAAGTGCGTAGTAGATCCTCTGCAGAACTACCAGTCTTTGGTGGAGGCCCAGGGTGTAGGAGGTTTGCGTCAGCATGCGGTGAGCCAGCCATCGCTGGCTGTGAAGCAGGGACGAGAGGTACTCGTCTTTCTCGGCTGATGTGTTGGATTCGCACTCAAAGTCGGGGAGTCTCGGGCTGGCCAGTTCTTGGACAGGCTGAGCCAGAGTCACCACTTCCTTGTTGTAAAGGAGCTTATTGTAGAGCCCGGCCACCCCGTGCCTCCTGGCCGTCTGCACGCTGTCTTCTGCGGCCCAGGAACTGTTGAAATGCTCCTGCCACTTCAGCAACACATGAGTTTGACAAGGCACCATCTTTGTACATTATCTAAACTGTATGTCACTCCTGAAAAACAGAAGGAGTAGAAGAGTTACAATGGATGCAATTCTGTTTTGACACCTACAGTTCCCTTCTTACACCCTCGTCACTTTACAGGCAACATTTCTTACTAATTGGCCACTTTATTATGTTGTTCTCTCCCAATTAAATTCAGCGTGAAGGTGAAAAGCTTTGTCTTTGGTGCTGGCACCTTTTCACACAGCAGTCTACATCCAGGTTAATGAGACAAGCCCAGTGGGTATCAGTGAAATAGGTCAGCCTCCTCTTAATGAGGAGACTTACAAGGCACAAAGGGAAGTAGAATAGCAAGACTTTCTTTGCCACAAAGTCATTGATTAATGATTTTTTTTTGTTGTTGTTCTGAGCACCAAAGTTAATAATCCAAGCCAGAAGTTAAAATATATATATACTTTGTTGATAGATATTTAATTCCTGGGTTGATTTTATTACTAAATTTACTTGATTAATGACATTAGATGATTAAAAAAAAAGTAAATGTTTTAGAATATAGGTTTTGTGAGAGGTGGGTGTGTGGGGAAGGAGGGGATTTACTAGCAAATAAAGTTGGAAACATGTTTGGGTATTCAGTTCAGTTTTTCAGTTTGAACGCTAATTTAGGACCAAAAATCTGGGTATGTTTAAAAAAATATTTAAAACAAAGTTGAGGTGAATAACCAAGGTTTGATCCAGATTATAATCTGATCTAGAATTTTCTTTAAAGTAACTATGAAACTATAGATTATCTGACTGCTCTTTATTGTCATTTTTGTTAAAGTTACAGTCCCTTTGTTTACATATACAATGCCATAATGATGAAGCAGTGTTGTCATTCAAAGTGATAGTGAGTGGGGGGCTCATCTACTTTCACATTGTACAGCATGAATCACACCCTCCCACTTCCAGTGCTCCTGCTGTCTCACAACAGCAAAAATAGACTTGAGTTTCACTTCAATAATTGTATTTCTAGTGCTGCTTGTTTAATATTTACTCCAGTACACAGAGACTGAATTATTTGATGTTGCCTAAACAAAAAAAAAAACAAAAAAACTGACTTGAATAAGTTATTATGATGCCAAAGTATAAATCCTGAAATTAAAATCTACAACAAAATATGAAATACGCTAAATCGTGAAATATTGTCAAGTGCGTTACTTTGATCACAGTCTGAAAATCTCATGTCTCTTGCCAGGCTAATGGCTTTGGGGGGGGGGGCTATACGGTTTCCACCCAGTCCAAAAATAACAACAAGCTTAGATATAGCAATAGACTCACCAGCGAGGCAACCAAAGCAAGGCACCAGAAATGTGAAGCAGCAGATATGGGGCTAATTACAATTTCCCCTTTTGTCTTTTTTTTTTTCTTCTCCCAAATAAAACATTTAGTTTCTCTTTTTTTTTTTCCGGAAAATGTCCTTTTCTGATTACTGACTATAATGACGTCTGGAAACAACACACTTTTCCAGGACCATTATGAATTCAGCTTCATACATCTTTTCAGCAAGAACAGCTTCCCTGTTTGAGCTGAAGAAAAACAACAAGAGAGCACGATGCCACAACCGTCATCTTCAATAAGCATGTTTTACAATTGGTTTCCCCACAAAAAACTATTTTAAAACATTTTCTGGTCTCATCTCCCCCCAGTGTCATTTCTTTGTTTCAACCATGGCTTTGTTCTTGTCCCTGTCCCATACAGGCTGTGGAATGCATGACTAATCACTGTGCTGTCAATTTGGTTTTTCACCTGCGTTCTGGGTGTCTGCAGCTCCTCTAGAGTTTTCAGTTTATGTGAGCGGCCATGTCTTTTTTTAGGTTTTTGCAGTTACACCCTTTTCAGTCCAGTTTCAGATGATGATGGGTAAAAACAATGAGATGTTCAAGGGTCTCCATAACTTTTTGTTTTTTAGGATTTGTTTGGTGTGGTTCGTTGGTCTTCACTAACAATCTTTAATAAAACTCTGAGAGCTTAACAGAAAAGCTATATTTATGCTAAGACTAAATTACGCAGGTGGGATCTATTTGTGATTCGGGCGACCTCTCAGGGAAGTCGGTTGCACTGAATTTTATTTCTAGGTATCAGAGTAAGGAGAAGTCAAAACCTAGTGCACGGCACAATTTTCCAGACTTTTCTTTGTATTGAATTTGAAGTGTCATTTACTGATTTTTCATAACTATGCACCACTTTGTGTTATCCTATCATGGGGAGAGAAATGTGAGATCTTGTGGAGGCTTATCTTAAATCTCTAGTGTAACCAAAAACCCTTAAAGACAGATCACTTCAAAACGGAATAACATCTCATTTCACTTCATTCATAGATTGCCAAATACTTCTGGCTTACTTAAATCGCCTAACCACCTACATTTGACACATAAAGGAAAATGCTAAGATCAGCTGGAAGAGGATGCTGACTTATCAGTTTAAACTGCTGTTTCCAGGACAACCAGACCCACAGCAGGTACACTCTGGCTGCCAGTCATTAGCCAGCTACAGATATTATCAAATCGTTTAGCCATTATTGCCACTGACTCATATTTGAAGGGTCGCTGGGAGAGTGGCGCTTATCACAGGTCGGGATGTGGAGAGGGGGGTGGGCATCCTGAACGGGTCACCAGGGAAAACACAAGACAAACAGCCACGGACGCACACTGATGACTAAAGGTAATTGGGGGGAAAACGTTGGATTGTGGGAGGAAGCCAAAGAACCTGGTGAGAACACACAAACTCATAGGGAGATCATGCATTAACCCTGGCCAGTATTTGATCTCAAGATCTTCTTGCTGCAGTGCAAACGTTCATAACCACTGCATAACCAGGCAGCTACATGTCAATAAATATTATTATTATTATTATTAAGTTTTTGAGGTACAGAGGACAACTGTATTCATAATGGCCAAATGAAAAGTTAATCAGAGTCGAGCACAAACGAGCAGAGCCTGGAGGATAATTTAATTATTGAAACATAACGACATTATCCTCCCGCGCTGCGGGTTTCAATCTTTCTGCCCATTTATCAGTGTTTTTTTGCCAAGATACCAGTCTTGACATCTCGCTTCCTGGCTCGGTGCCTGGCGGTTGCAGCAGCATAAACACTGAGCTGCTGGACGGGGATTTGAACAGCGGACGCCGCCGTGTCATTCAGCTGGTGTAACACTATTCTGCATCTGCGGTGACAGCTGAGCTAACGCTGCTGGCTGGCTGCACTGCAGTCGCTGCTAGTCCGCTTCACGTTAAAAAAAGACCGACAGACCGAGCCCCACCTCCGCTTGTTTTCTGACAGCTCCCAGCAAGAAACACCTCGCTGTGTAACAGCGAAGCTCGGTCTACGTCTGTTTTACCTGGCTGTGATAGAATGAAAGAGGGCCGCGGGCGTGTCAGTTACCTTGACGGCGAGCCTCCGAGGGTGTTTGCTTTGCGTTACCCGTCCCGTCCCAGTGAGGTCTCCCTCGGACGCAAATATCATGTCAGCCTTCCCCTGCGTTTCCCCGCTTCTTCTGCGGAGCATTATCCACTGATGCAAGGGGGCGGTGGGTTGCCACTTTAGCGCCACGGCGCGTCTCGGAGTGATGATGGCTCACACGTGTATTTGGTTGGTTTAAAATTGTATTTCCAACACTGACAAAAAAAAAACCCCAAAAGGACACAGTCCATTCACAGAGCAGGAACAAAACAAGTAATCTGCTGAAGTATATTCTTCTCATCCGACATCTGTTGATGTAGAAGAAATTATTTTGTATATGAAAGAGACCTTTTTGCATTTTCTTCTATTTAACATTTGGTAGCCACAAATCCACCTTTAACCTCAAAAAACTTTATAGACATTTGTGAGTGGGCTACCACATATCAATTTATTTGGTATTATTATATATAATTACAACAAAAACGTCAAGTAGGAAAAAAACCCTAATGAGTTTTTCCATGTCTATGAAAAACAACAATAATAACAATTATACAAATTATACTAATATTAATAATAATAATAATTGCAAACCTATTTTAAAAAATAAAGCAAATAGCTTGCAGCCGAATGATAAAACATCCCATTTTAAGGTACCCACCATTTTTAGCGTTGCATGGGTCTGGTGTATCTCCAGCAGTCAGTGGGCAGGAGGTGGAGTCCATCCTGGAGAGGACACCAGTTCATCACTGGGGCAACAGAGAGGCACACAGGACATACAACCATGCACACACACACCTAAGGGTAATCGATAGAGGTCTGGCTGTCCAAGAAAGTCCACCCAGAAAGCAGACTGCAACATGCTAAAAGAAAAATCCAGAAATCTTAACATGTCTTCAAGGCACCTATAAAAGCTGCTGTTAATGTTGGCATTAAAGACAACTGTTTGATCTCTAAGAAAAAACATGAAGGTCAGACTGAAGTTTTACCAGGGAAAAGTTAAACACCAGAACCTCCATTATAATATCCCGCAAATAGAGAGATTGAAATGTTTTGAAAACAAAGCTGAGGCCATGAATCACATAGGGCAATAATTTGATTATCAGCAAAAATCACAAGATAGCAGCTGATGACCATAGAAAGTAAACAACAACAACAACAAAAAAAGCAGAGCAAAACGAGAAAGAGAAGCTGTACCTTACCGTCTGTAAAATCCTCTGCATTGTCTACTCAGAGAGAAAAGTGGAGAATTTGGTCTAATTGTCATTGTCGTCATATCAACTTTATCACCATGGCGACCCAAAAAACGTTCTGGTATCTACAATGGTAGGGGCTAAATTCTGAGCGCCCCAAATAAGGCATTTAATTCAGTAATGCCAATTTGTAAATGTTTATTATTTTCTCCTTGCTGCCACACATGATTTGCTATTTAGCTTCACTGCTGAGGTCTATCAGAAGCATCACAGAAGAGAACTGATGAGAGTCTGTCAGAGAAATTTCACTGTTGAATGAGAGTTAGATGGTGGTAATGTTGTGAAAACAAGTCACAGGGTTTCCCCCAGTGTATTATAAGCCTGGCGGGCCACCAGGCTTTACTTGTGCCCCCCACCAGGCTAAGCATTGTTTATTTATTTATTTATTTATTTATTTATTTATTTATTTATTTATTTATTTATTAACAATTACCTTTTTTTAAGACTTTATAGTTGGAGTTTAGCAATTAATGTTCCAGTCTTCCATTAACACCTAATTATCAAGTGATAATTTCAAATTTCCTGTCAACTATAAGCATTTTTTTTAACTCAAAAACACAGCGAACCGCTGCACCCAAGCACCGGGTTTAGCAGGTTTTCTGGGGGAAACTCTGAATTTTTATCACATTTAGGCACACACTATTAAGGGAAATACAATTTTTAAAAATATGTTTGTTGATCATTTTTAGATTCCCCCCCCTTCACATCACTGAGAGCTGCACCCCATTGTATGGACAGGCTGTTACTACTTTGACGCATGGAGGAGATATTGTCATGGTTCATTCAAAAAAAAAAAAAGAAAAAAAAAAGAATATTTTATTGATCCCAAAGGGAAATTAAATGTCGTTGTAATTCATGTTAATTAAAATCCTTAAAAGAGTTCTTGTAGATAGTGATGGCTCTTGGCTGGAAGGTGTGTAGCTGTAATTAAATAATTTTTGTTTTCCAGAGATTAAAAAAAAAAAAAAAAAGATGACTGACTACGGTGAATATTCACTGCAAACAGTGAATACTTAATGGGTACCCTAACTGCTTGTTGTTCACACAATTTCTTTAAAATCTAAATATAGCCCTCATGTCCTATGCTTGCCATCAGTTATTTATAAGAAACTTGTGTGGATATAGGGGAACAACTCCACATCCTCTTAGGTCCTCATGCTGCCATCTGACGCTGAGGTGTTCCGTCACTGAGACAAAAACAAACCAAAGATAACTCATGACATCAGGTCCTGCCAACTTCAGTTCCTGGATGGAGGTTCCCAGTTGATCCCACTTCCAAGCCGGATTTCTAAAAAAAGGCTTCTGGGGAAAAAAAAGAAAAAAAAAAAAAAAAAAGAAAAAAAGAAAAAGAAACACCGGAATGAGGAAATTGGCCATCGGCAAAACAAAGTTGTTCATTGCTGATAACCGTACAACCTGATGAACCGCGGGGTCAGTCAACCCGAGTCCTTCAGACGAGATCCGCAGCTCCTCTCGCACCTTCTCCACATGCTCTTTCCAGCCACCCCGCATCCAGCGATGTCCCTCCTGCTCCTCACGGTGCTCTCCTCACTCATGCTGCATGATGTTGAGGCGTGGAGCGCCGGCGTGAAGTATGCGGTGAACTGCCCGGACAGATGCAGCGTGGACCGCTGCGGCGACGCGCAGCGCTGTACGCGGACCGTCCTGGACGACTGCGGCTGCTGCCAGGTCTGCGCGGCCGGCAGAAACGAGCACTGTTACCGCACGGTGTCGGGGATGCACGGCGTCAAGTGCGGACCGGGGCTGTTCTGCGAGTTCTACAAGGATGAGGACGATTATGGAGACGAATACGGGATTTGCAAAGGTGTGACCTGAAATCTTAGTCGTTTTTTTTTTTTTTTTTGAGTACTGCATCTTATGCTCAAATCCTGATCCTATTATCAACCTTTCCTTTTAGCGCTCTGGTCAGCAATTTATCCACAATCTTATAGTCTATAAATAAGCCATATCTCCAGACCTAATTTGATTATTCATAGTAAAATGTTGCATTTATATGCACTATCGTTTCTCCACTCAAATATATTTTATTTAATTTGGGCTTTTGTGACAAAACCAGTGTTTTCCTTTGCTTTGCAGACTGCCCATATGGGACCTATGGGGTTGAGTGCCGCAAGACCTGCAGCTGCAAAGGAGGCATTTGTGACAGGGAAACTGGAGCTTGTCTTACCCTCACATTCTTTGCCAAAATTGCCAGCAAGCTCAAAACTGGATCACAAACAGGTGAGTCTGTGCTTTCCGACAAATTGCTCTCATATTACATTGTATCACATTAGAGCTCAGTATGTGAAAAGAGGAGAGAAAAAATGAACTCCTTCACTTGTTTTCTCAGGGTCTGAAGTGGGATCAGGACAAGTGGTTGCACAGAGCACAGACAGATCCACGGCTCCAAAAAGACTGAACCCTCGCTGACAAAAAGAGAAACAGCCCTCCAAATGTTCAGTCCACATGTAGCATTAATTTATAAATAAACCAAAATGTATGTTTTAACTAAAAACTTTTTGACCAGCATTTGAAAGCTTGTTTGATTTTTTTCTCCATCTTTTATATACATACGCAGTGTTATCTCTGCTCTTTAATTATTACTTTTCTTTTTCTTTTCCTTTTTCTGTTATGAAGTTTGATAAAGCCTGTTGTAATATTAAATTCAATCAAAATGCAAAATGCACATTACAGTTCCTTATATTGCATACTGGCTTGAAGTCGTCAGAATGAGTATAAAACATTTACGAAGCCAAATTTTATGACACCAATAAAATGTACAGAATTGTTAAAGCAGATTGCTATACTATAACTAACAACTTGATAGTGGAAATGTCCCAAAATTTCCAGGATTACTAGGTTTCCATGTTGCAGATGTAACATTTAGGTCAAAAACAATATGCCTTCAAATCAGAAAGGCTAAACGTGACCTTAGATGAAGCATAAAGTCCATCAAAGCAAAATTGTTAGAAATTTTTACAGGATTTTTACAGGACTTATCTTGTAGAATTAAAACTCTCTTCAGAGATTTAAATCAAAAAGAGAAAAATACATTCTAAATGCTGACATTATGTTGTTCATTTTTTCCTATCACTATTTTAATAACTTCTTAAATGTTGATACATACTGACAACATTTCTTTGTCTGGCAATGTACAGGATGTGTTAAAGCAAATCATTGGTCAGAAGCAGGTGAAATAAGTGCTGCTTCATCCTACAACGTTTTGGTTTCTTTTGGCTTATAACTGATCTTGATGATTTGGTTGTTTCTTTTTGTCACATTCAGCAAATGACTGAAATAAATATAAATGAAGGAATGTTTGATTCCTATTGGCCTTTGTGTTTTCTGGTGATCTTCTGCATTGTATATTGTTTCTGATTAAATGTAACTTACAGCAATATTTTTTGTTCATTTAACACTTATTTCCATGATTATCCAGTTTTTATTGAAAAAAAAAAACATCATATGTAGCTCTCTGTCCTTGTTTGAACTTACTCTACAATAAAAAACTTATAACTGACTTGTCACTTGAAGTCTTACGTCTTATATTTTCCCAGAGCTTCTGGAGTTTGCTGGTTTGCAAGTACCTCACATCCATGAAAACTTTTAGTCAAACATTTTCAAACATTCTTTTAGTATTTCTGAGATTTCCTGTGCCAAACTTTAGTTTTGAACTCAGATATAGTTGAACAAATGTCACGGGAAAATAATATCTCTGCAGAGAAACTCTAAAGATCTGCTTCATAGGCAAATAAATAATAGAAGCTTTGGATCTTAACAAGCTGTGCAAAAAAGATGGCAAAGAAGTGTGCACCCTGAGGAAGAAGAATTTTTTTTATCCATCAAATTCTCATGCCATGACACTGAAGCTGGGGATTTTTTTTTTTTTTTTCACATTCTTGACTTTTAAATAGTGAGGTGGCCTAACATCCACAAAGGTAGAAAATCAAATAAATCATTGTTCCCAAGCAAGCAAAATGTCTCACTGATGTAAAAATCTGCTAAAAGTGCTGAAATACAAAGACATTATGAGAGAAGCGCTATGAACTTTTCCTTAACCTGGAAAAAGACACATTTCTAACAAGCTTATATATTCATACAGCATGTTTTAATACTGTAAATACTGTCACTTTATAATAAATTGAGGCTTCTCCACTAAAATAAAGTGCAGCATTGTTAAAATACTTCAATTTCAAAAAACTAATTAATAAGTAATACCAGACAAAATTTCACAATAATTCTCCCTTAGCTATAAATAATTCCTATTAACCTCACCTCTCACCCTTTCTGGTAGGAAAATGTTTTCCCGTATTCAGGCTGTTTATTTCCTGTGCTTCCTGACACCTGTGAAAATGGTCCTTCTTCCTGTTGTTGTTGTGTCTGCCCAGGAATTTAAAGCAGGTTTTCTTTTTTTTTTTCTTTTCTTTTTTTTTCAAAGTGACACTGCAAGACCCTGGAATTTATCAGTGATGTATGACTGCTACGGTTCAGTCGACTGTTTGAGAGTTAGCTCTTTTTATTGTTATTGCCAAACTGCGAGCTGACATCTCAACATCAAGTGAGCAGATTGCGTCCAAGAGAAATCATTGGCATATCAACATTTATGAGATGTGCAAAATTATACGTAAATTCATGATAAAAAAGAAAATTCCTTTCAGGCGAACCAATGTTGAAAAGTTGAAATGTAAGGTTCTGAAAGAGTAGGAAGTAAAGACTTTCTGATTTTTATGTTTATCATAAACATTTGGTATTTGCTAACCTAATTTTAGGGAATTGTGTGCAAACTGATGATCTGAATTTTAGATTTAAAAACATATAGGAATACCATTGTGAAAGGATGAAAATTTCATCACAAGTGAAAAAAGGAACTGACAAACTAAAAGGACGAGAGTTAAAAAGAATAATGAAATACATTGAAACAGATTGTCATATATTACAATTAAACAACCTGTAGTGTGTGTTTTTTTTATTGTTTGTTTTTTTTGGGGGGAGGGGGGCGGGGGGGGGGACGAAAGGGGTCATCAAGGTCACCAAGCACATATTTATATCAGTTAATTAAAATGGAAAATAGCCAACACTGTCAGCCTGTTAATTTAGGAATTTTCTTTGGTTGACCACAATGTTTGGAAAGTTGAGTTCAGTTTCACTGGTCACACCCATGTCTGATTGATTATTGACCAGCCCCAATCTGAAAAAAACAAAACAAAACAAAACAAAAACAAACAAAAAGAAGCTCAAAAGCAAAAGAAAATCAAAGCTATTGACATTTCATGGCCTGGGAGGGGTACAATGACATTTCTAAAGCATTGGATCTTCAAGCACAGTGATAGCCAGGATTCACTGGAGAACAACTTTGAACCCTTTCAACCAAAAATAACTCCAGGAGAGAATCATCCAGGGGCCATAAAAAGACAAGAACATTTAAACCACAGCAAAACTCATAAACCTAATTGTTCATTAGTTATCAAAAAGAAAATACTAATATCTTGAGATTAACTTTAGCTTTGGTGGCTGCTTGTCAAAAATAGAGGAAAGGAGTACTGCAGTGAATTCCAGTGGATTGCAACTGTTATATTTAAAAAAAAACAACAACATTCACCCCAGAGATTTCGTTAATCTTTGAAATTAGATTAGCGTGCTTAGCCGTACCGACAGATATGGTGGTCGTCTATGTGGGGGCAGGAGCGTTCTCAAGTGCTCGGGCTCAAGTGTTCCTCTAACTCCCTTGAGAACCAGCAGGTCGAAGTCCTGCAACCAAAACAAAGGAGCCTTGAAAATAACAGGAAAGCATTGGTGAGAAAACCTCTTTATCTGACTCCCTGAGCACGTCACTGCGGCCGCTGTAAAAACAAAGGTGCGTGAATGAAGTAGTAAATAACACCGATTTACTAATAATAGATGCAAATAGATGTTCTGGTATTTACAGTGTGACCCTAGCCTCAACAGGTTGTTTACCAGAACGGTGGAGTGACAGGATTTATTGGAAACAACACATGCAATGTGCAAACAAGGAAATTAAAGTGCGCGATTGATTACATTGATTAGAAACATCAAAACGGAGGCCAGTAAAGAGAAACAGGAAATGCATCATCTCACTGACTGGAATGATGGGAACTCAGGCAGATGGATACTTTTTTTTTTTGGCTCCCTCCTTATTTTCTCTCCAACCCTGTTTTTCTTTTTTGTTTCTGCTTGTGTTTCCCAGAAAACATTTAAGCCAGCAAAAAAAAAAAAAGCCAGATTCTGTAGCTTTGACCTTTGTGACTTTGCAGATTTCTAACCTAAAAGTGACTTCTTTTAATTTTGATTCGATAACACAAGGAGCAACATGTCTCAGTAGAAACATGGAGAGTAACTAGAAAGCAAGTCTGTGGTGTTTCACGTGTTTAGAGACAATTTTTCTTTGAATTCAAGTTCTTGCATGACTATAATGCAACAAAGTGAGTAAGCTGCTAACAAGAATATTCCTGTATGTAAGGGTTCGTTGTTGCTGAACAATTTACTTTTTATTTTGCCTTCTGAATGTAACTGATTGCAGATAACCTCTAAGGTCATAAGAAAGATGAAGTTTGGTAAGAATTAGAAAATGTTACTTTTATTTACTCTTGCCTTCCACATGGTGGCATCGTTTGAAAAGCTGGACAGGTTGCCATTTTGGAAGCTGACGCTGTTCAGATTCTGAAAAATAAACGGAGTCTACGATTTTCCTTAAAGAAATCAACTTATTAATGAACATGCAGACCACAAATACACTTTGGGAACAGCAGGTTCAAACACGTTGCTGCTTTCCTCCTTAGAACTTCCCATGCAAACACAGTGTGAGACGTGCCTGAGAGAACAGCTGAGTTAATGGTTGCCACAAAATGACTACAGCGAGAACTCCCTCGGGATAAGCAGCCTTTTCTGTGAGGAGCATCTACATGTGGAACTTCCCACTTCCTGAATTCCTGAATGACTTCCTATCTGGTATCATTCTGGAGGCGCTATGCTGAAACATTTTCAAAAGTACCACCTATACACATGTGGATGCTTGCAATCATTCTTTATTCAATTCGATGGTATTATGTTTTATTTTTACTTTAAATTGCAGGGTATGTTTTTCCTGTTTTGTCCTAGTATCTTAATTGAGTTTTCATAATTCACTTTCTACAACCAAAATGTAATGCTTCTTAACATAAATAAACTGCTCACACGTGTTTATTTGGATTATTAGAGAGGTATTGTCAGATGTCAGATCATTGATGGAGTCACATTTTGATCAGATGTCAAAATGTGATCAGAAAAATTGCCACTTTTAAACCTAGAATTGCAAAACTTTGTCAAATATCTTCCTCATTGAAAGAGTGAATGGTTTCCTGCAAAACCTAATGCTAACTGTATTACCTAATCTTAACAAAATTGTAAACTGCACAAATAATAATAAAAAAAATATTTATCATAATTACGTGACTGTGAGAATTGCAACTACAAAACCCAGACAGACAACCGCTAACCCTTTTCATATAGATTTTCATATACAATTCTGAGACGACTGTAGTTTATTATGGGACATAAGAGCCATATAAACATGTGTGCCAAGGACCGCTGTTGCAAAGGCGAACATTTAAACGCAAACTTGAATAAATAATTTCAGAATTCATCAGCAGAGGGCGCTGTTACAGCATGCAAAAAGTCAGACGTGACCTTGAACGGAATGACAGCTTACCCTAACTCTGAGAGGATAATGGATCATTATTACATCCACATATAGCTGCTCATAGATTATTCATGTGCCATAATACGGGCATGTGTACACTTTATGCGTACAGAAATCCAAGCGGGTTGGATTTGTAAGTTTAACGCAAAGAAATGGAGAAAGAAATAGATACAAGGGGTCAGTGAATGCTTTGATTTACAAAAACTTTATACTATATATATATATATATTTCAAATTAAAACTAGGACTGCTTTGTTGGAATGCTCTGTATTAATGCATTTCTCGTTTTGAATCATTGTCTAGTCCACTGGCCAGCAAATGTTAAGATTGCTTTGAGTGCAGTTCAGCCGAGAGTCATGCAAGTTTTTTTTTTTTTTTTTTTAACAGTCTGAAATGTATTTAGATTCTGATTATGCTGACCAGACTGCAAGCAGAAATCCCAAGGCAAGCGTCTTTGAAGGTGTGGTGACTTTAGGGATAAAATTAGGTTTAGTTTATGTCAGTGGTCTGCAGAAAATAGGGTGTTTTATAATTGTTCTTTCTTTCTCTCCCTCTCTTCCTCTCTCTGTCTTTCTTTGATGATCCAAGAGAGAAGCTTATGTTGAGATACTGACTTTTTCAGCCTTTCTTGACATCAAATCCAAGTTTAGTCCATTTGGATGCCATGTTATACATGACACATTTTCAGTGTGTGTGTTTTTTTTTTCTTTTCATTTTACACATTCAAACATAAAATGAAAAGGTTTACGTTTGAATGTCATATGTTTACAAAGTAGAGCTTAGTGACACTCTCTAGTTTAGTGTAGTTAAAAATAAAACATTTAAAAAAATCCCAGCTATGCTAAATATGTAGCTTACTACTTTATTCTGCAACATCAACTTTGCAGCGTTCGGTTGCTACGTTGTATTTATACTGGGATGTTATCCTCGGCCCCTCTAAAAATAAAAGAGTGGTGACTTGCAGAAGTCGAAGGTCTCCGAGTTCAGGTTCAGAGAAAGAGTTGTTGTGGTATGTATGAACTCTTGAGCCTTTATTTACAGTGTGAGCATGCTCATTGTCCTTCACAGTTCTTGGGTGTGATGTTACTCCCGCATCTACGCACCCACTTTCAAAACTAATTAAACAGAGCCTTTGCTGGAAAAGCAGGAAAGCATTAGAATGATTGTTGTGCTTCTCACTGCTATTAACAGTAAATAGAAATAAATAAATGAGTGTATATCACTGAGAAAATATGATTATATTGATTTTGAAGAACCATCCATGTCTTAGTTTTTGTGTGATAAACTTCCCCCACCCCCAAACTGTAACAATGAATTAAATACACAGCAGCCGATTTGGATGTTGAACTTGGATCAGATAGGGAACTATTAATTTCCCAAGTCTATATTCAGATTTCTCTCAGTTTTATTCCTCTCAACTTGGACTTCAGACTTCATTTGAAGTATAAATAATGTGAGTCATCTAAACATGCTGTGTGAAAGGTACTCCTGCTGTTCAGTGCACATCAAAAGCCTTTTGGGGATGTTCCAGATGAGCATGAATTAAAACAATATTTTAATTATGATTATATATCTCAAATTCTAAAATGATTGAATCAAAATAACTTTATTCCAACCCAACAGGAAAACCCTTTCGTCTGCTTGGATCTCCAAAAAATTCCTGTCATCTCTCCAGAAGTCACCGACTGTCCGAAACCTCTGACTGTAAGGCCATGAGAACCCCAAGACTCATTGGGGGTGGGTGGGGGGGATGCAACTCCCAGAGGCTCATTGTATGAAGATTCACTCATTCTGATCTTATTAGTTGTCCGTCGGACGAATTCTTTCAGAATCCTCACGGGAGAAGTTGCAGCTCCAGTTTGTTTACAGACGACCACTTCCTACGCCAATGAGGTCACAGCGCTTCGTGTTCAACATTCTTTGTGCTGCAAATATAATAAAACGTGCTGAAGGACGACTGAGCACATGTGGTTCTGAGCCCACTGTTGTTTATTCTCAACACTTAATTTGGAGTTAGTATGGGTGGGCTTCTTATAACACCCAGCAGACACACCCTGCGTGGGATAAGCTTGAAATAGTGGAACTATATTCCTGATTAAAATTGTGCAAATGTTAGTATAATGCAGTAACTCAAATTATCACACTCAAGAACCAGACAAGATATGAAAAAAAATATAGATACAAATACAACTGATTTCACAAAAGCGAAGAGAAAATTAATAATAAGCTGAAAATGTAAGGTTAAAAATGCTATTTAATCATATAAAGAGTTCCATCTATGCTCAGGTCCCATTGACTCAGATCACAAAAGCTTAGATCTACACTGGCAGCCATCAAAATGTGAATGCGAAACATTTTTTGTGAATTGAAAAAAAAAAAATCTTTGTGCAGTGAGAGATGGTTGTGCTTGTTCTTAGAAATCAGCACCAAGCTGCAAACAGATGCAATATACAGGCGACCTGTAGGGGCACTGTGGAGGAAATGATCTCAGAACAGGCTTATGTCCTTCATTGAGGATCCACCTGCTGATACTCTTACCAACCACCAACTACAAGTACAAGCAATTGTGATGATTGTTAACAGCTTAGGTACAATGAGAAAGTTATGTTTTTGAAATTGCCTTTCTAATATTTTCTCTTTTTTTTAATAAAGAAGGAAATGAAGTTACCTATACTAGTTTTTTTACAGCTTGATGAGTGTAATTTTCCAAACTTGACTGATGTGACCTCTTATCTGCAGAATCTAGAATCTAGATTGAATCCTCAGCATCCGAGGAATCATAAGATGCTGATTCCTCCAGCGAATCATTTGATTTGAGGGTGAATTTATTTGTATTGGTCAACATAAAAAAAAAGATTCTGATGCAGGAAATACTGCAACATCTAGATAAATCAGAGGTAAAGATAAAACATATGACTTCAAAATGGAAGATAACTCTAAGGATGCCATAAAAGCTGCTTTTTGTGATGAGCAGCCAACACAAAGAGCTGGTCTCAGTTTCATAGAAAATCTGTGAGCAGAGCACAGAATGTGTGGTTGAGCCAAGAGGAATGGGCCAAACCTGTAAGATAATTGTGCAGCATAACCAAAACGTTTGACCCAAGTCAAAATGTTTGAAAGTTAGGTTTATGGTTAGTTCTTCTGCCAAACACAAAGGAAACTTATGTCAACTTTGTAAGATGAAGAAATTAAAGTAAAAAAAAAAAGAAAAAAGAAAAAAAGAAATCTCAAAAGTATTCTCCCAAAATTCTGGAAATTTACAAATTGCCAAAATGTTATTGATCCTAATTTCAACTCTGTATCCTAACCTTTATCTTTTGTATGTATGTATCCAGACGTAAAATGCTGCTCCTCAGTAGAAATGTTCGCGAGAAGGAACCGTTGCATCACTATGGAGCGAGAAAACATTTAGGGTAGTCCCAAATAAACAAGACTGGAGTTTCCGTGGTGTGTATACAGCTGGGTTTTCACCAAAGCAAGGGCCGAGACTAAATAAATGTTTGTTGAGCTGCATTTACACAGCCATTAGTTCATGTCATCATTTTGAAGACACCTTGGAACTGTGCTGACTCCCTCCGTCTCCCTCCACTCTCTGTGTTCGGGGTTAGTGAATGGATGATGAATGGAAAATGGAATTTTTTTTTTTTATTCCTCATGATTCATAGGAAAAAGAAAATTCTCGGCTGTTGATTCAGATGTTTAAAATGAGTGGAAGACCGTTTGAAAGGTCAAAAAGCTCCCTTTTCCGTCTGTTCATTGTGGAATACAAGAGAAAGTCAGACGCACTCGGAGCTGGTTTCCAACACAGCTCTCGTTCTAAGACTTCCTCAAACATACTCATGCACTCTTTCCCCCTCCCTCTCCTCCTTCCTCCTCCCTCCTCTTCCTCCTCCTTCTCTCTGTAGCCAACTACACACAGCCTGAGCCTCACCAGGCAGAATGACTGGAGGAGTTGGGGCTGCATTTTGCAGTGCCTGGAGTGAGACTTGTGAGCGTGTTTTTGTGACTGTGCAGGTCTCTGGGTGGACTTCAGCTGTAAGGGCACCGTGCCCCCACCACCCCATCCCCATGTGTGTGTTTGACCGCGACAGTCGTCCTGAGCACAAGGAAGACTTTTCTCAGAATGCAGATGGTGTGAGCAGCCAGGGTAAAAGTTTCTAACAGCTCACGTCTGAGCCTCGGCTAATTCAGTCAGTCCGCTCTGCACAGTCTGACTCAGTCAGGGGAGAAACAGCAGCAGCCGGAGCAGCTGAGAGGGACTCCTACTTGAGCTTGTCTCAGACTTGGATTTCTGTTGTTGATTGATTACCTGTCAGTGGACTGGAGACCCGAGCCGTGCATCACCAGTCAACAGAGCCGAAGGATTCAACAAGGCTGTCTGTGTAAGAAGGTGGGTCTGGCTCTGTTTCGGTGGTGGTTTTGATCTCAATTTCTGTTCTTTGGAGGCGTAAATATCTACAGTTCTCCAGCATCGTTCACCTTAAGACTTATTATATGAGTGAGAGAATCCGAAAGGGAAATGTGTCATATTCACCTCCACTTAAAAAAAAAAAAAAAATCAGCTGTGACACATTTTGCAGCATTGCAGCATCTGAGAAAACAACTCACTACAATAACTTAGTTGACTGAAAAAAATGAGTCGTCTGATCAAGAGTTGGCAGTTTAATCGAATGGTCGATCGTGTAACGGTGATGTGACATATTATTACAGATTAAAATCGGTGATGCTGCAAAAAGGACAAAAGTTATTAAAATGCACAACACCTGTGGCTTCATTAGACCAAAACTTTACAGGCTTCCAACAGATTTCCATATATTTCTGCTGTTTTACATGCAAGATCCCTACTAGATCCTTCCAAAGCAGTGACGTCTGTCAGGCTTTTGGGTAAGCTGAATATGCTAAAACTCTATTATCTCTGGATTAATGTACCGGTCGTGTACCAAGGGCCAGGATCTCACTGATTGCAAGTGCTGACAGGCTGGACTAGACCAAAGTAAGATGTGGAAAATTGTTGAATGATGTGAAGATGGACTGCAAAGGACAGGTCAGAGATGTTGATAAAACGGCTTAAAGGATGGAAAATTCATCTCTGCAGCTTCTGTCCGCCGCCGGCCTCACGGGTTAATGGAAAAGGGAAGATGTGAAAGCAAGCAGGGGGACGGGCTGAGGTAAAAGAAGGGATGATGACCCTCCTGCACTAGGAATGTATGCAGCAGACACAAGCTGTGCTGCTGGAAAGCCACAGGGATCAGGTTCCCTGTGTCAGCTGCTGGGCTCGTCTGATCCCTGATCTTTATGATATCTGCTTATCAAGAGACAGAGGGGGAAGACTAGAACTTGAACAACATGGGGGTAGAGATCATTTTGGCGATATGGAAAAACAAAAAAAAAAGAAAACATTTTCGGAAACACTTGTTTGTGTCCTGTTAGGTGAGTGCAGAGGACAAAAAACAAAACCGAGCAACAAAAATTCATGAGAAGGAGTTGAAATATGACACACAGGTGCCAGAATTTGAGAGGTCAGTTGATAATGACTGCGTTTCTCGCCTGTGTTTCTTCCTAGAGTGCCTTGCAAAAAGTATTTATAGCGCTTGTGCTGTTCTACATTTTATCACATCAAAAGCACAAACTTGAATGTATCTTAGTGAGATTTTTTGTAACACAAAGTAACACATAACTTTGAAGTGGGGGGTTAAATGGCACGTGTTCTCAAAATGCTGCTTAAAGTACAGTTTAAAAGATGGGTTTCTTTTAATCTGATACCTTTAAATTAAATGTCAATCAACAAAAGAAACCAACTAACTGATAGACTGAGTCCTCCTGTGTGTAATTTAATCTCACTAAGAGATGAAGCCGTTATGTAGATTTGTGGGAGAATATTAGTGAACAAACAAGATTCATCCAAGAAGTGTAGCCGACAAGTCAGGGAGAAAGTTGTGGAGAAGATGAAAGCAGGTTTAGGTTATAGATTATCATTTCAAGTCCTGGGCATCTCACAAAGAGCCGATCAGTTCATCGTCTGCAAATTGGAGAGAGTGTGTCACAATTGCTAAACCACCAAGACAAGAATTTCCACCTAAAAAGATGAATGGGGAAAGAAGTGACTCTGGAGGAGCTGCAGAGCTCTGCAGCTCCTCCAGAGTCACTTCAG